GTCTCTCAGACACAGGCTAATTTCTTGTTTGAAGGAGAAGAGAGCAGGCTTCATGTTCAGCTTCTTGGGCAGGAAAGATCTACCCAGACTTATTGGGTTTCTGTTATATTTATTTTTCTGATTGCCTTCGAAGTAAGGCAACCGATCATTCATCTTTTCATTCAGTCAGTATTTATTCAACAAATACATACTAAGCATGATTGCATGTTCTAAACACAGGGGTCACAAGCAGGGAACTAGAAAAAAAACCCTGCCTTCTGCAGCTGATGTATTTCTCCTGCCGGGAATCTTAGCCCAGAATGTTGCCCTTGGGTTCTGCCACTGTGTGACCTTGGACAAGTGGCTTAACCTCTCTGGGCCTCAACGTTCTCACGTGTAAAATGGGGATAATAATAGCACCTAAGTCAGGATCCAGGGAGTCAGTGGGTAAAAGGGTCAGGACAGGGCTTGGCACATGGTTAAGTGCTTAATAAAAACTGGCTAGTATTATTTATCTTTATTTCTAGTTGTGATAAAACATTCCTCCCTAAACGTATGTATTTAAGTACAAGCTTCCTTTTAAGGTAAATTATTTAAGTAAAAAAAGGTAGATGTGGGGGTTCCTGGCTGACTCAGTCAGAGGAGCATGTGGCTCTTGATCTTGGGGTTGTGAGTTGGAGCCCCATGTTGGGTGTAGAGATTGTTTAAAAATAAAATGTTAAAAAAAAAAAAAGTAGGCATGGAGAGTTAAAAAAAAAAAAAAAAGGTGGGCAGAGTCTGCAGGTAAGGAGAATAGGGTAAAAGCCATGCGAGTATGTTTAGGAGATGAACTTTGGGAAGTCCTGAACCAGCGGGAGATGTCAGGCAGGCACTGAGGGGAAGCATAGCGCTATTTTCAGTGTCAACAGAAGGACAAGGCTTCTTCCTCCAGTCTGACATTTGCATACTTCTCCCCACTGCCTCATCCTATGGGATCCCAAACCCTGGGGGTTTCCCTGCCTGCCAGGGAGGCTTTGGAAAGAGGGGACCTGGACAGGTAGAGGGTCGCGGGCGCTAGATGAAGACGAGGCTGTGGACCTCAGGGCAGGAACAGTCCTGGAGCTGCCTGAGCCTCTCCCAGGTCCCTCGGCACCGGGGGTGGCCGGCCGCTTGCCACTGCAGCCACTGGTTCCTGCAAAGACATGGGGCTGACTCAATGGCATTGGGACTCTCTTGGGCTCCCGGGATGTGTGCCTCTGTGTGCCCCTTCCACCGTGCAGAAAAAGCTGTCAAGTCCCAGTTCATGGCTGTATTGTATAAAGTTGACTATAACCCACACTGGATTTAGAATTAGATCTTCATTATCATGATTATGATCACCAATCTTGTTTCTCCTGATTTTAAAAGAAATTAAAATTAAATCATTTTCATGGACCCAAAAGTGTGTGGGCACTGCAGCCTGATAGAGAAGTTGACCCTGAGCTGGCAGCCGAGCATGATTCCAGAGGCCAACAAAGGGCGACCCAGATCCAGCTCTTAATGTCGGGGGAGGTGCCACTGTCACATCCTTGCTGGGCAAACTGGGCAAGTTGCTTATCCCCTGCGTCCCCTTCTCCTCCTGCTGGAAGGTAACACAGTGGATGTGATTAAGAACACAGACTGTAGAATCAAGGACATGCGTGACCCAGCTCCGAGGAGCCTCCATTTCTACAGTGGAAAACAGAGGTACCCATATTCTTCCCTTCTCTGAAGAACGGGGAGGGCTCTAGGAGCTGCTTTGCGCAGAGAAAATGAAAACGATCAGGACATAAGAGCAAACCATTTCAGCAACAGGAATGAATGATCGAATGCTACAAGGAGCATTCTTTTGCTCGTGCAGAACCAAAGAAGTTGGATCCCAAAAGGCATATCCTGCATCATTTTAGTGATGTACAGTTTGAAAAAACAAAACAAAACAAAATTAAACTAGGGTTTAGAGATAGGCTCTGAGGTGAGTAAAGCTCTAGAATGGATTACCATAAAAGTCAGGAAGGTGGCTTCCTTTCTGGGGAAGGGAGGGGTTGTGGCTAGGAGGGGTGTGGGGGCCCTGGGGGCGGTGCCCGGGCTCTGTTCCCTGCCTGGGTGGTGACTGTTTCGGGGTGTCTCTTCTCCAAACATTTGTTAACCTGTTTGTAGATGTTTTAGACAGTTCTCTGTAGGTATAATTCAAATCTTTAAAAAATATAGCACAATTTTAAAAATGCAACATAATAACTAACAATAATAGCAAACACTGATTTAGTGCCTATTACATGCCTGTTACATTCTCCAGGTCTAAGCACAGAGGTTGGCACACAGTAGGCACTTCACAAAGGAGAGTATTTAAAGCTACCACTATTTTTGTCATCCTCATCACATACGATGGCGTCAATGCCCCTGGTCTCCAAAGGGCTTGTGAGGTCTGAATGCGCGCCCCCATGTAAACCACCTACATGCACCCAGCACACAGTAGGTGTGTGACTGTTGGCAGGTGTTCCTTCTGCTTGTTCCAGACTCACAGACACTTCTCCGGCTAAATAAACCCTCCTGAAATCCCCAACTGACAAGCTAATCCTTCCCCAGGCCCGTGCCCTTTGCATGCCCGCCCTCGCCAGCTGCCCACGGAAAGAATCCGGCTGACAGCTTGTCTCCGTCCTCGCTTTGATCCCCCTCCTGCCCAATCCTGCCTGGTGAGCTCATGCCCCAGTCAGGCCTTCCATCACCTGTTCTGTGAGACTGGTCCCAGGCGGGGTGGGGGTGGGGAGAGATGCCTCTGTCTGGAACAGTCTTGCCTTTGCCGTCCATGCCACCTGCCCCTGGTGGGGGGCAGGGGTTCCCGTGACCCTCATCTCAGCTTCAACAAAGCGCCATGCTTCTCATCATGGACTATTTGCATCCAAAAGAGAAACTGGACATTCAGCAGAGTTTTAAGGCCAGAAAGGCTTAGCCAAAGATGGAGGCTCTAGCTGGTAAGCTTAATAAAATAATAAAAAATAAATCTGTAATGGGAAAATTTGGGGTCTGAGACAGGTAGGTGGGAGAGAAGCTGGAGGGGGCGGACAGAGAGGGCCTCCCTAGAGAGTACTAATACTGACTGCCATCTACTTGTTGCATACCTACTGTGTGCCAGGGTCCTCAAATCCATGATACCTCATTTTCACAAAGTACTTAGCATTATACCCACGTAATAGGTTAGATGTGACGATAGGAGCTTCCACGACTAAGCATCTATGAGGGGTCAGGGGCTGTGCAAAGGTCTCCAGATCCTTCCAGCAGTCTGAGTGGCAGAGCCTATCAGGGTCAGGAGGCAGGCTCATCCAGAGCCAGCAGCTATATGGGCCAAAGACAGGGTTTGAACCCAGATCTGTGCAGGCCCAATGCCTCTTGTTCAGATACGTCTGTCCCGAGAACCCCATCTGGCACTGGGATTCCCTGCTCTAGGTTTGCAGTGAGCAGGGCTGCTCCCTTTTAAATGGAAAGAAATTACTAACCTTGTAAATGTGAGAATAACTCCCTGGACAGACCCCAGAAGAGAGCTCTCATGTAATAATCCCTGCCCTGGGAAAGCACTGTCAGTGGGGAACAGTCTAGTCTCTAGAGCTTGGCTTGGGGGTCTGATCAATTCAGGTTCAAATCCCATTTCTGTGAAATCTTGCCATTTGCAACAATGTGGATGGAACTAGAGGGTATTATGCTGAGCGAAATAAGTCAATCAGAGAAAGACAATTATCATATGATCTCTCTGATATAAGGAATTTGAGAGGGAGGGTGTGGGGTTGTGGGGGTAGGGAAGGAAAAAATTAAACAAGATGGGATCAGGAGGGAGACAAACCATAAGAGACTCTTAATCTCACAAAACAAACTGAGGGTTGCTGGGGGGTTGGGGGGGTAAGAATAGGGAGGTTGGGTTATGGACATTGGGGAGGGTATGGGCTATAGTGAGTGCTGTGGAGTGTGTAAGCCTGAAGATTCACGGACCTGTACCCCTGGGGCAAATAATGCATTATATGTTAATAAGAATAGTTTAAAAGGAAAGAAAAATCCCATTTCTGCCACCTGCTGGGTGTGTGACCCTGGGCATCTCTTTTTTGCTTCTCCATCTCTGCATCTGGAGAGAGAGGATCCTAACAGTATTCCCTTTGCGTTCTTGGAATGTTTCAATGCCATCATGTGTGTTAACGATGCCACTCCACTTGCTTCTGCATGCCCCCTTGTTCACTCCACTCTGGTCACAGTGGTGACGACTCCCACCTCAGGGCCTTTGCACTTGCCGTTCCTTCTGCCTGGAAGGCCTTCCCCCCAGTTATCCACATGGCTACCTCCCTCATTTCCTTCAGATTCCTGTTCAAATGTCACCTTCTTCGTGTCACTTTCCTTGAAAAAAAAAAAAAAATCCCACCCCCAATCTTGCCTTCTTTCCCTAACACTTACCTCGCATCTGACAAATTACAGATTTATTTGCCTAATGTCTGTCTCCATACAGCAGGATGCTGTTTCCATAAGAGGAGGGACCACATCTGCTTTGTTCATTGTGTCTCCCCAGCGCCCAAAACATTGCCTAGCACGTGCTCAATAGTAAGTGCTCGACAAATAGTTATTGAATGAATGGATTTTTTTAAAAAGGAAATTAGAATCAAGCTCAGCACATCATAAGCACTCAGTAAATGCTGGCTACCATGATCGTTAGTATATTAACTATTTTCTGAGACACCTGCCCTTGAGGCAAGCAGTCTAAGAAGCTGATATAAGGCAAATGTGTGTCAAATCCTGCTGTGTGATCTTGACTAAATCACACTGCCTGCCTATCTGAGCCTTGGTTTCCCCACCTATAAAGTGAGGGTAGCCAAAGCTGGCTTTTAAGGATTCAGTAATAATACCAGCTCCCTTTTCCATGTGTTCTTTCTGGATGTCAACTATGCTATCTCTTCAATCTGCACGATTTCCCCTAACCTTCACCCTTGCCCCAGCGGGAGGCCCTCTTGTTAGCTGCATTTTCAGTTGAAGCAACTGGAGTTCAGAGAAGCTATGAGATTGCCCAGGGTCACACAGCAGGAGAGGCAGGAGCTGCTCCTTCTGGGACACTGGGGCCCGGACCCTCGTGGGCCCCACTCCTGCCAGAAGTCAACATCTGACTGCTACGGCACCTTTGTCCTTCAGATAGCAGAGACGGCCAGGGCTCTACAATCCCACTTCCGCAGGCCCAAGGTCTAGGGCTTACCCTCCTGTCCCGGCGCCATCTCCGTAGCAGCGCCGGCTCCTGGCATCCTGGGCAGGCCACTCACACCTCACACAGATCGTGTGGCCCTGGGTCAGGTACCTTGTCCACTGGGCGTGAGGCGCCTTCACCTGTCGGCAGCTCCCTGGAACGGGTCCCAGCTGGAACTGAACACAGTACCTGCAGCCACACAGGGAGACACCACCCGAAGCGCCTGTGAGCATTTATGGAGCACCTACTGCATACCTAGACTCTGTAGGCCCAGCTTGGCACAATTTCTGCCTGAGAATAGAAACCTTTTGCGTGGCACTCTTCATCAACGGGTCACATATGACAAGAGACTTGGCTCAAATCTTTAAAACTAACATCATTGAGAACTTCCCTGCTTCAAGTCTCGTCTAAGCATCCCATCCAAAAGACTGGGTGGTTTATTTCTCAGTCTGTGTCCCAGTCTCATGCCAGCCCCAGAAGGGCAGGAACTCCTGTTTGTTCTGGTCACGGTCACATCCAGCTCCCAGAATAGTCTCCCGCTCATAAAAATGCACTGAATGAACCATTTAATACAGAAACCTGGAGAGGTAGGTGTTGCCCCACTTTACAGATTAGGAAACTAAGCATCAGAGAGAGAGAACTCGCCTGGAGTCACACAGCTACTAAGTGGCGGTGCCTAAAATGGAACCACCTAAACCCAAAAAAGCCCCAAGTGACACTCCGAAGCACGCCACGGCATTCTAGAACAGATCCGATTTTACAGAAAAGATGTGCCGTGAGAAGTATTTAAAAGGGCAGTTCCCCATTCTGGAGGATCTGAAATAAGAGCCAATTACAATTTTACTTCTACCCAACTTTTTCTACAATTAGCAGTCGACGCCACCCCCGCCCCCATCCTGCCGGAAGAGACGCAGCCGGTCAAGGACTCCGGGGAGACTCGGCGTGGGGCTGCTGCCCCCTGGTGGCTGCGGCCTCGGGGAGGCCCGCGGAGCCGACCCCTTGCCAGGACAAGCCTGAGCTGCCCCCTGCCCCTTCCTCTCTGAGCTGCAATTCCTGCCCTCACCCTAGGACCCTATAGGTATTTCTGTCCTTTCTCGTTCTTCGCTGCAGCCTCGAGGCCTAGCCCAGTACCTGACATATAACAGGTGTCCAATAAACATGCAGTGAAGGAATGAGCGAATGAGGGAAGGAAGGAAGGAATGGAGTTGAACGGAGACCAAATATTAAGGGCTTCAAATTCCATGTTAATGAGCTTACAAATGTCCCAGGACGAGAAGTGGGAGACACTGATGCCACCAAAGTAAGAGACAGAGAGACATGACAGCAATTTAATCCAAGGAGAAACGTTCACCAATTTTAGCTTGACTTTGGATTCATTTGCATCAACTTACCCTGCTGTCTCCGGCTTCTTGGGGACACCTCGCTTTTTCCGCTCCTTCCCATAGCTGTCAGTGGTTATCAGAGCAGGGACTGTGGACCAAAGAGAAACGAGAGTTAGGTGACCCAGCACTCTCTAGACTATGACACCACAGGAAACAGGGTTAGGTCTTGCTGGTGTTCGAGCTCTTTATATAGCAGCCCAAAGGAGAATGGGGATCTTGCCCTAGGGGTCCTCACTAGTCTCCTTTATGTGATGCTGGAAGGCAGGGTGAGACCGAGCTCTGCCACTCAGGGCCTAGCACAGAGGTTGCACAGTGGGTCTCAAAAAAAGTTTTTCAACAGAATAATTTATTTTTTAAAAGATTTTATTTATTGGGGTGCCTGGGTGGCTCTGTGGGTTAAAGCCTCTGCCTTCGGCTCAGGTCATGATCCCAGGGTCCTGGGATCGAGCCCTGCATTGGGCTCTATGCTCAGCCGGGAGCCTGCTTCCTTTCCTTTCTCTCTGCCTGTCTCTCTGCCTACTTGTGATCTCTGTCTGTCAAATGAATAAATAAAATCTTTGAAAAAAAATTTTTAAATAAAGATTTTATTTATTTATTTGTTTGAGAGAAAGAGAACACATGCATGTGAGTAGGGGACAGGTAGAGGGAAATGGAGAGAATCCTCAAGCAGACTCCCTGCTGAGTGTTGAACCCAACTCAGGTCTCAGTCTTACTACCAGAGATCATGACCTGAACTGAAATCAGAAGTCAAACCCTCAACCAACTGAGCCATCCAGGTGTCCCTCAAATGAATGATTTTGATGAATGAATAAGTGAGTAAAAAGAGTGGATAAAACTTCATAGCTGAGTGAATTGAGGAAGAAAGAAAGAAAGAAAGAAAGAAAGAAGAAAGAAAGAAAAAAAATGGGGAGATGGGGAGGATTGAGAAAAGCAGAGAGAGAGATGATTGATGGAAGAGCTGATGAGTGGAAAGAAGGATGGATGGAGAGCTGACACGTGGTTGGAGGGATGAACAGATAAAAGAAATAGATGGACCAAAAGGTGGACAGATGTGTGGACGGATGGAAGAAAGGAGGTACAGAGGGATGAATGGATAAATGAATTAATAAATGAATTAATAACTAATAAAATAATTAACATTTTGTTGGGCCAACTTCCAAGTCTCTTGTTCCAAGAGAACAAAGAAGAGGAGAACAAGAAGTCGATCCAGAAGAGAACAGAGATTCCTCGGGAAAATAAAGAAGCCAAAGGACATCCCTACCTCTCCCCATTCCCCGAGTGATGGAGCTGAATCAAAGATTTGCTATTGAATTAATGCTTGTGACCTAGATGAGGGCCACACCAGGGCATCCCAGCCCCCTCCTCCCTGCTGTTGCCACAGTGACTGTGTTTGGTCTTTGTCATAGCACACTTAATACACAATTTCCCTTCCCTCCTCTCTTCCAGCATGCATAGTTCTTCTTTTGGTGCAGCCTACAGTGAGGAGAGTCCAGAAAACCCCAGGTTCCAGCTCTCCCTCTTACAGCTGATTGGTCCTGGTCAAGTCACTACACCTTTCTGAGCCTCGGCCTCCGGATAGTATTAGAACATATCCATACAGTTATGGTCAGAGCTAAATAAGGTGATTTACAACCAGCCATGCCTCTTGGGCAAGTTTTATGCCTTCTTGAGTTTTGGGTTCCCATTCTGTAAAATGGGAATAATAACATTGCCCTCACAGAGTCAAGGAATGTGGCAAAGTGGCTGGAACCCAGTAGGGGCTGTCGGGAAGGTCTTCCGGAAAACTGACGTCCGTGCGGGAAATGAGCTGGGCAGGGTCAGATGTGGTGGCAAGGGAAAAAGAGAAGGATTTCCATCATTCCCTCTTCCATCACCCTAGTCTAGCCACCATCCTCCCTCGCTTGCTCCTCTGCAGTCACCTCATCCCTGGGTTCCTGGCTGCTCTCTGACCCATTTCATCAGCTGCCCTCACAACAGTCAAATTATCCTTTAAAAAGGCAGAGGGGTGCCTGGGTGGCTCATGGGTTAAGCCTCTACCTTTGGCTCAGATCATGATCTCAGGGTCCTGGGATCGAGCCCCGCATCGGGCTCTCTGCTCAGCGGGGAGCCTGCTTCCCCTTCTCTCTCTCTGCCTGCCTCTCTGCCTACTTGTGATCTCTCTCTCTCTGTCAAATAAACAAATAAAATCTTTAAAATAAGTAAATAGATAAAATAAAACTTGGGCAGAGGGGGAAAAAAACAGAAAACAACAACTTAGGCAGGGGGAGGAAGGAGATGAGGGCCCAGGAGCCAAGCGCACTGAGCTTAAGGACATGATGAGGAGCTTGGGTTTCGCCCTCAGGGCGCTGGGTAGCTACTGGGAAATTGAAAGCAGGAGGGTGACACCATGGTAAGATTTGCTGTAGAACGACCTCCCCTCCCACCAGGCTACAGTTTGGGGAGAGATTGGAAGGGGACCATTTAGCCCCTCTGCTTGTTCTCCTAGCCCCTCCGGAAAACCACTTGCACTATGTTGGTCAATTTCTTTTTCTTTTTCTTTTTTTACTTTATTTTATTTATTTGTCAGAGAGAGAGAGAGCACAAGCAGGGGGAGCAGCAGGCAGAGGGGGAAGCTGGCTCCCCGATGAGCAAGGAGCCTGATGCGGAACTCGATCCCAGGACTGTGGGATCATGACCTGAGGTGAAGGCAGATGCTTAACCGACTGAGCCACCCAGGCGTCTGGCCTTGTCAATTTCTTCTGTATAATGGGCATCGCCTGTTTTTTGTAGTGCTATATAGAAGCCCTTCGTCAGGGTATGCATGTAGCCTACATCTACAGTTCTGCCTGCCTTACATCCATTCTCCCCAGTTATCCTTTGAAAAATGCCTGTCCCTATCATCATTCAGGTGGGGCTGACCACACCCCCAGCTGCAAAGGGAGCACTCGTCCTGGCCTGGCCCATTAGGATAGTCCATCACTCTAGCCTTACTGATTGGCTTAGCAGTAGATACATGCCCAGGTCAAGCCGATGAGACTTTGTCCTAGGACATTGGCTAAAACTATGGGAAAGGACCTTTGCTTTCAGCCACTGGACTAGTTGGAGAAAAGACCAGTACTACCAAAGACCATAAGAGGGGAAGATGCTGCCTGAGAATGAGGTCATCTGGGGGAAAACAGAGCTGAGAGATGGAAAGAGATTCCTGGAACTGTTGCTTGAGTCCCTGGATCCAGCCATGCCTGCATGCAGCCCCTAGAGTTTTAGTTCCATGAGCCACACATTCTTGCTTAGGTCAGTTTAACCTGGGTTTCCTATCATCTGTATACAAACCAAGTCCTGACTGATTTACACCAGAAGATGAGTAGAAAAAAGATAGGAGATGCCCAGAGAAAGTCAGAGTTTCTTCCCTCATTCATAAGGTTAGGAGGGCAAATCAAGGTACAGGAAGATAAAGTTCTACCATAAAATCAGACCCCACACTCATGGAGGGCTCTCAAGTCCAGCCAGGGAGTTCCCAATGACAGCTGACCTACCCCCAGTGGCCACTCCAACTCACTTAAAGACTGTTGGCACTCCACTCCCTGGCGGCTCCGGTAATCCACACACCCAGCCCGCTCTTCCAGCGGGGGGCAGGGAGCACCCCCGTTCCTCGGCTCCTGCAGGACACGCCTCTGGCGGACGCGATAGGAGATCTGGCAGGGTTTGACACAGCAACTCCAGCCACTCCACTCTGCCACAACACAGGAGACCACTGGAAGAGAAGGCGGTGTGGGGGAGGGGTGTGTGGTCTCCCAGGTCATGGAATTAGGCAGGCCAGCAGCCAGGTCTTCACCTTCCCCACAAGCCAGACACCCCCCCACCGCCCGCCTAAATACCGCATGAGTGCCAGAACTCTTCCAAACCTGAGTTCATGCCTTGCTTGAAATTTTCTCTATGACAACGGTTTAAACGTCTAATGGAAACCTCGAATTCCATGTTTTATTTACCGATGATCCCACTGCCGACCATTTGGGTTGTTTCCATCACTCATTCCTCCAACAAACATCTCCCGAGCTTTTTTTTTTTTTTTTAAGATTTTATTTATTTGATAAAAACACAGCAAGAAAGGGAACACAAGCAGGGGGAGCGGAAGAGGGAGAAGCAGGCTTCCCCCTGAGCAGGGAGCCTGATGCGGGGTTCGATCCCAGAACCCTGGGATCATGACCTGAGCTGAAGGCAGGCGCTTAATGACTGAGCCACCCAGGCGCCCCCATTTCCTGAGCTCCTAGCGGCACCCAATCTCAACTCTCCGTGCCTCAGTTTCTTCCTTCATCACACAGGAATAAGAACAGTATTCATTGGTTAGGGTGGCCTCGAGGATTCAGAGAGCTATGAGCGTAAAACATTTGCTCCTGGCACACAGCAAGTGCTCAGCAAACGAGCTTCTACAGTGGTGAAATGAACCACAGGGGCACGACCAGCAACATGGAGTGGAGAGAAGCCCCTTGCAGAAGCTGTTTCTGGTATGACAGTATCACATACAGTCTTAGAACCTGCAAAACAGGGACACCTGAGTGGCTCAGTCAGTTGAGCGTCTGCCTTACTCAGGTCATGATCCCAGGCTCCTGGGATGGAGTCCTGAGTCCAGCTCCTTGATCAGCGGGGAGGCTGCTTCTCCCTCTGCCTGCTGTTCCCTCTGCTTGTGCTCTCTCTCTGACAAATAAATAAATAAAATCTTAAAAAAAAAAAACAAACACAAAACAGTGCCGTACGGTGTTTAAGAATTCATACAGTTCTCATACGTAGGAGAAAATGTACGGTCGGTGCTCCTGGTTCACAGATTCTACACTTGCCCATTCACCTCTAGTTAAAAATTGATTTGTAACCCCCAAATCAATACCTGAGGTGATCTGGCAGTCATTCACGGACATGTGCAGAGTAGCAAAAACTTTTAAGTCACCTGGCGTGCGCATTCCCAGCTGAGGTCAAACAGGCCCGACCTGCCTCCTTGGACGGAGGCTGCAGGTGGCAGGTGAAACACCAGAAGACCGAGCTCCACGGCCAAGTTCACCTGGGTCTGAACCCCAGCTCCGGTCCCTGGTAGTGGGATGGCTTCAGGCCAGCCACTTCACACATCCAAGCTTTGTTTTTCTCTTTTGTGAAACGAAGAAAATAAAATCTACCAAAATGAATTGTTTTAGGATTTAAGATTATGACGTATGTGACATCTGGGCGTACTCATTTCCCTTAGGAGCGATGGCTCCAAATTCCTTAAATCAGTGTTTGCTGTGATTTCATGGAACGTAACTACTGTGAATCATGAGGACAGGCTCTCTCTCTCTCTCTGTCTCTCTCCATCTCTCTCTCTCTCTCTATATATATGTATACACACACATCAATTGTATATATTTATGTATGTAAACACATGCATACATATGCATGGGAATTGTAAATACCAAATTCAGCAGAGTAGTTACCTCTGAGAGAAGGAAGGAGGGCTACTGGGGTGGGGGGAGAGGAACGCAGAAGGACCAGGGGCATTCATCAAGGTTTGCTTGTGAGCTTTCCATATTACTCTCTCTACACCGGAGTCTGTCTGAAATAGCTCTCGCACTGGAAGAAGGGAGATGCTGGGTGTCCATGCCCTTGAGATGCTCATGTGCCTACCACAGTTGATGGCCTAGTGGGGAGGTATTTTCTGATGATGGAGCCCCTGGGACCTCCAGCATCTTCATCCACGTCCACAGTCCCAGATCAGTACTGGACCGAGCCAGAGAAGGCCATCAAACCAGAACACAGGATCTGAGGACTTTACCGGGAAGAGAATTTCTACAGATGTTCCAGCAAGCCAAGGGTCTCACACACACACACACGCATGCACACACGCTCACACACGCTCACACACATCAAAGCAGCTACTGTAGTCAGAATTCATTCACTCGCTCCACAAGTATTTACCAAGGGTCTGCTGTGAGCCAGACACTGTCCTGGGTGCTGGAAACACAGAAAGAAAGATAAAGTCTGTCCTCATGAAAAGCACTGATCAGCTATGAACATGGCCCAGTTCAGCAACACAAAAATGTGGGGAGGAAAAAAAGTGTGCATCCTTGAACTGATGGAATGAGGTTATTGTGTTACAAAAACAGACAGCCTTGCTTCTGACACCTCAGGAAGCCACAGACTTCCTGCATGGATCTCAGCTCTTAGCAGAGTTGAAATGCTCAGAGACAGGAAGGAGGGAGGGAGGGAGGGAGGGGGGAATAAAGTATGCCGAGCTCACAATCATTGATTACTTTCACCACCCACCTAATAATGGCATGAATTATGTCACTGCTGCTGGACCAGGCAAACCACATATTGACCTCCCATGGTCCTCACGACAATCTTAGAAGGTTGTGCTCTCCCAGATCCTTCTCTGTCCTCTGCCCTTGGGAAACCTGTGCATCACAGAGGCTCCCTAGCCTGTAGCTGCCAGTTGGGTTCAGGCAACAGGGGAGGGGGCACACCAGCAGGGAGAAGAGTGCAGCCCAGACCCCTAGAACCCCACTCCTGCCTCAGCCTTGCTTCTGGATGGGAGGAGCCTCAGCCATGGATCCTGCTCTCACCAGGCTCCTGAAGACCATTTCTTCCCTCTCCCCGGCCCTCACCTTTGTGAATAGAGCCCTCATCAAATTCTCTTCCATTCAACTGTTTTGGGCGTACCATCAGTCGCTTGCCAGGACCCTGGCTCCAAATGTATTTGCACTATTGTCAAATCCATCTCACTGGGAAGGCAAGTGGGGCTTAAGGGGGTGGAATGTCAGTCGAGGCAAGGCGTTGGCGTCAGACAAACTTGGATTCCAACTGCAGTCTCACAGGATTGGTACAGGGAGAAACGAGAAGCACTGAGCAGATCGCAAATGCTCGATACAACAGGGGTCTTGATGCATTTATTCAACAACTCTTTAGGGCCTACTGTGTGCTAAGCACTGGCCTGGGTGCTGGGAACACAGAGGAGCAAAGCAGAAAAAGCCCTGCCCTCAAACAGCTGACACTCTGTGGGGGAAACAGACAATAAACAGTACATTATTTCATTACAGTGATTGACGTCCTGACAGCAAAGTGAAATAAGAGGGACAGTGGTGGGGTGATTAGACACGTATAGATGGAGGAGCCACAGATGGCTCCCATGACAGAGGACATCCGAGGAGGTGAGGGAGGGGACTGGGGAGGCATCTGGGAGGAAAGTGTTCCAGGCAGAAGGAACCGGCAGTGCAAAGGTCCTGCGGCAGCTCAAGCTTAGATGCCAAAGGGACAGTGAAGAATACAGCATGGCAGGAGCCAAACATGCAGAAGAAGTGAGGTAGGAGGGGGTGTCAGAGAGGCGGGAACAGTGACAGCTTCCAGGGCTCTGAGGACTATGGGAAGGAATCTGGATTTTATTCTAATCATGAAGAACCGTCATTGCCAGTCTCTGAGCAGAGGAGTGACGATGTCATCACATTTCAGGTTGGAACGGGCTATCTCTGGCTGCTCGAGGGGGATGAGGGCAGAGACAGGGGACCCGCCAGAACACTAATGCAGGTGTGCAGAAGGGAGAGGATCGTCTACCATAGACGGAGCTGCTAGAGGCAGTGAGTTCTGTGTCGCTGAGAGTGTTCGCAGGGTTTCTGGACAACCTGGCGGGGAAACTGCAGATCACACTTGGGCCCTGGCTTGGCAGGTGGACCCCGGCGAAGCACCAATGTCCCACCATGAGCCCCTGCCCTGCCCTGCCGGGCCCGCCAAGCAGGCGAGAGATTTCGTAGAAAATTAAGCAGACGCCACCTTACAAATATTCTTTCCATGTTGCTGGCATCTGTGAAGTCACCAAGGAGGATGCACACATGACACTCCTAGGGAAATGTCATCACACTTCACCTAGGCCTGGGATCATGACCTTAATACACTCATGTGATTATTTGTAGCTCATCAATCTCTCCCAGTAGAATGTCAGCTCCATGGAAGCAAGGTCCTTGTTCCCTGCTGAATCCCAGCGCCAAGCACACTTCCTGACACACAGGGACTCGGTGAGTAATAAATGAGCAGAGCAAGTCTTGCCTTATCGTCGAAAGAAATGTGACCGCAGGTTGGCGTTGCAAAAAGGCACCACAAGATGGCAGTGTTTCTCAAAACAAAGGCCACCCTACTCTTTCAGAAAAAAGGAGAAATTCTAGCTTATCAGTGTAGCTTAAAAAGAGGGGTGGGGATGGTTTAAGGTTGCTCACCCAGCCCTGGAGATCCGGATAACATCGTGCCATCTGAGCCTGCTGGAGCCAGACTGAACTTCCCACAGTCCCCTTAGACCCCCTGCCCCTACTCGCACAGCCCCCAAGCTTCTGGGGAAAAGGGTTTCTGGATGATTCAAACCCCACCTTCTTCTCTGAACTTCATTGCCCAGCCCCCTGACTGTCCATCCTTCTCACTGCCCACCAAAAAGACTTTTCTGGAATGCAGTTCTAGCTCCTGCCTGTTGCCTGAAATCCTTTGGTGTTTCCTGTCTCCTGTTGAGGTGGTTCACAAAAGGTCTTTTTTGATAGTGGATCAGAGAGATCCCCAAGCCTAGTAGCTGAAAGTCTTAAGTGTTCCTGCAACATATCCTCAGTCACTCCCTCCCTTCTCCTCCCATTTACTATCTCAGCACGCTTTCACTTGAATTCCTTGAAATGCACGGTCTCCCACAGCTCAACTTTCGCCAGCGATCATTTCTGCCCATCCCTGCCTCCCTACCCTCAATTTCTGGTCAAACCAT